TGAAGAACAAAACGACAGCAACTTGTCTGTTCCCCTTTCCCAAATTCCCCAGCACTGTTCCTATCCCCCCAATTCCCCAATAAAAAAATCTTAAAAAAAAAAAAAAGTGACTGATAAAATGAAGCGATTTTGATACAAATGTGAAATTGGGAGTCATTGATGACATCTGCAGTCTTGTCAGCCTCAGCAGTCTACTTATTCCTTTGTTTTATTTTGGTTGCACAGTAACGAGAAAAATCCTGACCGATACAGCTAAATAACAGTAAACTGTAAGAAATATTAAAACACCTCATCTTGTGATCTTAGGATACTCTCCGGTTAAACTTAATATAAAACTTGAAAGAGGAGTAGCAGGAAATATTGGTTTCAAAGCGGAATCATAAATAGTCTCTCCTGTGTTTGTTATTCATTCTCATTATTGCATAACTGACCATGATACCATAACTAGAAACCTAATGCCTGGGTCTCTCTGGACATGTGAGTGGTGAACATGTGCTATAGAGGTGTGCTCCTTTGCACAACTGTACAAGAAAGGACAGGTTTGAATTTTAAAAGGCCAGGGCACAGCTTTGACCTTCCTAAACAGTGATGCATTAATAAGCACATTTAGATGACTGACATGGCAGGAGGTCTATACAAAAATTCTTAATTGGGCAGCACAAAATAATGCTTCAAAATAAGGCAAAATAATCTCCAATGTATGAAAATGTATGTGCCCATTTCAGTACGTCTGATCTCTTCCTTTCTGTAGTACAAATGGCATTTTTAAGAAAATGAAAGTGATAAATGCATGTTTTTTAAGAAGTCAACTCGTACAGGGGTCCCTGCCCCTTTTCAAACCACTAAATCAGCCAACCCTGAAAACCACCTCCTGTTTAGTGAGATAATAAAAGTCTTCCTTATGAAACCAGTTTGAATAGGATTTTCTCTTACTTAATGCTGAAAGCATCTTAACTTTAGAAGTATTACATTAAGAAATGTGAGCATCAGTGGCCATGGGCAGAAAGAATGAGACTAACACCCCAAAGAAAGATTCAGAATGTGAAGGGAGCAAAACAGCAGGGGCAGCAGCTGAGGGATGTGAGTCCCTCTGGGACTCCCAGCAACTCCCAGCCACACACACTTTAACATACATTTATGCTAACAGTATACCATTTGAATGTATTTTACATTGGGCTTCCATAAAAGCTTCATTTGACAATGATTCTCTAGCTAAAATTTTGGCCATCACATTTTAATTTTCAAGAGCTCTGCTCCGATTATTCCTTTTTTTTTTTTTTTTAATAATAGCATCCTGTACTTGTTAGCTGCAATTTGTTCCATTTTTCTCTGAGGATAATTCGTTTTTTGAAGTTGGGGTTCCTTTGCATTGAGCATTGTCTGTTCCATTTGTTTTGGTCTCTGCCTTTTGTGTTGAAAGCTCTCCTCAAATGTCTGGTGATCCTTAGCTCTACATGCAGACTATGAGCCACTCAAGCTGAAGGAAAGCTGGGGTAAGGGATGCTATCTAACTGATATGAGCTGGATTTTTCAGTGAAGGACACAAATGGCACGATTATTTCCCTAAAGCCATTCAAGTTTAAAAAAAAAAAATCTGAAGTCTCCTGCCTTGAGGGTTATAAACTGCTGCCAACTTTCTCAGAGCCAGATGGCTTAAAGCAAGTAGGCTAGGGGAGTGTGGGTCTATTCTGTATGCAAGCTTTAATTTACTTCCCTTGTTTCCAGTCTGGCACCTCCCCAAGTCTGAAACTTTCTGATGCTATATTCCTCCTGAAAATAAACCTTTAGTACCCTATGAGTAAGGGGTGGGAAAGCTTCTTTCTCGGCAGGGGGTAGGATAGAGATGGGTGCATCTATTCCGTATCTAATCTTCTATCTAAGTCCCATTTTCAGGCCTACACCTCAACTCCACCTTTTGTGGTATCTGGTGCCTCCAATTCTTGAGATCGTCCAAGGGGCCAATTACCTATGTTAGAAGGCAGTCCTTCACATGGGCATTCAAGTTGCTGCACGCTCCTTCTTCTTTGTAGTTAGCCTTCCCATTGCTTTCCACCTTCTAAAATATGGTTGACATATCTCATCCACTGATGTCTCCTTTCCCATTCTCTGTCCTTGTCTGTTTATAACTTATGCCATTCTTGCCATTTTATAAGGTTTCAGGAGAGAATAAATATAGCACATGTGTTTAATTCAAACCTTATAACCAAAAGCCCAGTCTTTTTACCTGCTGGCTTAGCTTTAGGGCAAACAGGCAGCTGGAGTCAACTTTACCTTTGTGCCCGCACTGCATTTGTTTTTATCATTCATGGCCATTTTTCATATTTGGTCCGTAATTTCTGTATGTGTCTTAGCTTCTCTACAAGGTTGCTCATTCATCTACATGTCCTCCATTTCTTAGCACCCCACAGCATCTGCCTTATAGTGGGTACACAGATACCTAATTTGAAATATTTTAGTTACCTGAATGTGAGTACAAAGGAGCTTACCTAGACAGCTAGGCTTTAGTTTCACTACCTTGTGTTGCCAAACCCTACCGTCTTCCCCATTCCCAGCCTCCTGTAGAGCCTCCAGACCCCTTTCTAAGTGAGTAGTTGGGGGTCCCCAGGAGGGTGAAGGCAATGTACTCACATCCTTCTCAGCTGTTGCTCATGATGTTTGGCCCTCCCCACCTTCTGATTCTTTCCTTGGGATGTTATTAATTCTGCTTAAGGCTACATGATACTCCTCTTAATACCTTTAACATTAGGATGCCTTGAACTTCAAGAAAAGTTCAAACTCTTGTGACCTTGAGGAAGTTACTTAATTTTTCTAGCCTTCTGCCCTTCATCTGCAAATGGGAATAGGACTTATCTCAAAGGAGTTATGTGAAGAACAGATGAGAAAATGCACCTACAGTCCTTAGCATGGTGCCTGCCCTGTAATGCTGCGTTAATTACTGTACTCTTAGTGATTCCAGAAACTACCCTTGGCTCTGGTTCAGTGGGACCAGCGTGTTATAGTGTGTAATGGGAGTACCTGCCAGCCGCTGTGCCAATAAGGCCTTTGTGTAAGTATTGATCTCATGTAATCCTCATGACAACTTTTTGCATTAGAGATGAAATTATCTCTATTTTACAGATGATGAAACTTAGCCAAGATATCACATGCTAGTAGGTAATGCATTCAAGATTTAAAGCTGGAAGTCTTTTTAAAAAAAAAAAAGCTGACAAGTGGAATAGCAGATGATTTTGGAGAGCACATTGTGGGAGAGATTTTAGTTTTTTATATACCCTTCTGTAGCTATTTTTTTTTCTACCATTTCCATGTATTTTCAGTTTTAATTAGCTAATAAACCTCACCAATATACATTAACCCCCCACTAAAAATACTAGCTAATAAAAACAAACCGTGTATCAAAAGAAAAACAAAACATGGTCTTTAAATTTCTTAGTAGAGGAATTTTTCACACCAAGGTCTCAAATTACTGTTACCTCCCCAGTTACTGGGTTTCTTTCCTTCCTATCACAAACATCATTTACATGGTTCTGTGAGTCGTCTTTTGCCCATTTTCCTCCACTTACCAATTCTCCTACCTTTTAATCAGTAAGTATATTTTTTTACACATCAATCATAGGCATTGAAACATGCTGCAAATAAAAACACAGTGCCTAATTCTATCTACTTTAGCATGACATTTTTTAGTTATAATCCCTTTACTAGAATATAAAATTATTAAACATAATACATGAATACCGGGGGTGCCAAAAAAAAATGTATACAAGTAAACACTTTGGTCAACGTTGCTCAAGCAGTTCACCATAATCAGAATTGTGTGGACGCTGATGGAAACCACTTTGAGCACTTCTTGTAATTGCAGAAGTCAAATGTGACTTGTATTCATCTTTTGTTATCGGTATGTATTGAGTATTACAATTTTAATACAGTTTTCCTTTCTTAAAATGTGTGTACATTTTTGGGACACAGTCTGTATTTTCAATTAGAAATATAAATAAAGCAAATTCTAATTAATAAGCTCATCCTCACTTACAGATCTTATGAGTAAGGGATCATGTTATGTTCCAATACTCTGGTGTTTTGTCTCCTTTGGGGGTCTACAAACTTTCCTGAAGGACCAGATAGCAAATATTTTAGGCTTTTCAGGCCAAGAGGCAAAATTGAGGACTTACGCAACCATTTAAAAATGTAATCACATAAAAATGTAAAAATCATTCTTAGCTCACAGGCAGCTGGCCAGATTTGGCTCGCGTTATAGTTTGCTGATACCTAGTCTACTTGCTAAATTTCCTCCCTTTTTTGCATCATTTCTAAGTATGATGCAATGCCCTTTTGTCAAAAAAGTAAGGAGTGACTTTTTCCTGACTAATGTCAGACTGTCATGACTCAGTTATTGCACTGTGACAAAAAAATACACCCACACAGTTGTTGATGCAGAATATTTATTTATGTATTTGATATCTGTACAGATGTCTTTGTCCTTTATTTGTTTCTGTGTTCTTATTGAACTGCATTAATGCCTAAAGGATGAGGACTGTATCTGCTTAACTCAGTTTGTACATTTTCAGCAGAGCATAAGCATCAAATGGACATCTGACATATTTCAATACAACAGAAAACAATCAAATATAAGTCAACAAGAGACATAAGAAAAAAGCAGATGGAAATACATACAGAAACTCTTAGAATTATGCTATCTGTAATTCACAAAACCGTCTTTTAAGTTTATATCTAAGATTATATTGGTTTTCTTATATAAAAAAAGGAAATTGCAATGAATAATGGAAATAAAAGTGCAAAGTCAAGGTATTTTTGGCTCTTGGACTAAAATAATAACGATCAGTGAGGAAAAAAAGTGAAGAGGAATGAAATAGACCACTACTGATATTTCTTTTCATGTTAAAAAAGAAATTGCCTTTTATTTGGATTGATTGGAAATAGTAGTGATGACCTTTTTGGGCTAAAAAAATGACAACACAGCTCATTAAAACAAAAGGGTTACTTCTAACATGGAAGCATAGAAAAAATATTAAAAGCATTAAAAAAAAAAAAGGTAAAGCACCAATGGCCCCATTCTGTCCACTGCATTCAAAAAATAGCTTGGAAAACACCTTACCCAATTATGCCAGAAACCTCTAAGTGACACTTTCTGAAAGGTTAACAGTGTTGGCCCAGTATTTAGCATAGCAATTGTATGGTTTAAAATACATATTTAATGACAAGTAAACAAACTGATGATCAGAAAAACTGAAGAGTGCCTTTCCCTTTACAATGCGATATTAAAGTGCTGCCTGTGGATATTTTGTAAGTAAAAAGTGTTTGAAGTTTCATTTTGTTTTACAAAAATCGACACCATTAAAACCAACATGATTATTTGCCACTCATCCAATCACTGAGGTAACATTATATTATAAAAATATGTAAAAAAAATTCATAATTACCAGATATGCTGATTCCCATATAGCTAGTATAAATTGATTATTAAAAAATAGTTTTGTTTCCTTAAAAAAACACTTGATTCATTTACCATTAAATATCAGATAGGTATTTGCTATCCTGAAGTACCAAAAAAATTGCAAATAAAAATGGCACTGTCTACACTTTGGGTTTCTTGTTAGGTGGATCCTGCAGACTGAACTTGGGAATCTCACCAGAAGGAGCATATGGAATTCTCTTTGAAGACACCTTTTTGCCAATTGTTTCAATCTAGGGGGAAAAAAGATTTTAGAAAAGAAAAGATTTAGAAAAGAAAACAATTATAATACATAAATGTAAAAACTATAATGAAGTGTAGGAAAGCCTAGATTAGTTTTTCTTTTTAAAAGCAGAAAATGTTTCTCAAGTTGTCTGAGTTGCTATGAAAGATCTTTGGTTCCTTCCCTATTTTTTATGTTCCTGGAGTCAATGTACACACCACGTTTCATATTCATATCTAGACACACTCACGCCTGCCAATCCCAACCCTGGAACCCCTCAGAGTAGAGAATCATATGCCGCTATTGTTTTAGTAGCATATATGAAAGCAATGAAGAGACTAATTCCAGTTAATTCACGTTCTCTCCCATACTCTATTCTCATGTCCACTTCCCTTGTTCTAAAAAACTTGTATAAGCTGTAATAGCATAGTTTTTAGGAGTTCAAGCTTCAGAGTCTGAAAGGCCCCAGTTGGAATCCTGACTGATAATTGCTATGTTGCCTCTAGGTCTTTCTTCCTTGTTTGTATTAATTCCACCTGCCTCAAAGGGTTGTGGTTAAGGATTCAAGTGTTCAGCATGGTGTTTGGCATACAAGTCAGCCCTCAATAAATAAAATCAAATTCTATTTTGCACATTACATTTTACACTGTTTTTTATATATCCAAAATCATCAATCTTATCTTTAGACACGCTTCTTTAATGGCCATAAGTTTATTTCCTCTCTACAGCAGAGATAAATATACACACAATTTTCTTTTTTTTTAACACAATATTTTCATAAATACCTTTTAAATTAAAAATATTTAATTCTGACTCAGACCATAAAGGAAGGGTCTCTGCTTTGTGTTAATCAATTGTCTTCGTTTGTTTCATGATTCCACTACTAATTGTTTTTTTAATCCTTACTAGGGAAAGTTAACATATAAGGACTCAAACTTGGTCTAAATATATACCTCTTCATATATTGTCTCCCTTAGATGCGTAAAACAGGAATGTGAGAAAATTTGTCTATGCTTTGCAAATAATCTTTAAAAAGTAACATTGCCGAGTTAAGTCATGACTGGGAAAAGTCATGTTATTCACTAAAGAGGGTTGGGATAGAAGAATCCCCAAGGTCGTTGATGGAGTATTAACAGACAAGGATGCCATCTGATTCTTGGTGCAAGTGAATCTCTCATGAATGAGAAATGGACACTGAATTCTAAATAAGAAGGGTCTTCAGCCATTCGGTGACAGGTATTTTGAACAGTAGGTGAGGCTGTATCAGTGCCTCCAGGACAACTGATGCTGAGCAGACGCGCACAGCCAGCTCTGAACACTGCCTGTCGGCTCTGCTAGAGGACTCTGCGGACAGCAATCTCCTGGCACATTCTTTATCCTCCCTGACCTCCCCCTGAGCCTCCCAGTCCCATACATACTGCTAGGAGGAAACGGAAAATAGCTCCTTCTTATTAATACTTTTGGGACCCCTGGTAGAACTGAAGTAGATGCAACATATAAACATTCCATTCTGTGCAGAGGTTTCTGTCTCTTCTCTAAGCATGCCATAATTAATTGACAAACTTTGAATGAGAAGGGAGCCAGTACACTGAAGCTCCCATTGTGGCATTTTGCGGTTTTCAAGACATTTGTACAGCAATAAAAGCCCAGGCCTCTGAGGGGATCAGTGTGCTGCAGATAGTTCAGGAGAGCAGCCTCGTAGTTCCAGGAAAATAATTTGTTTAGTATTTTCTTACTTGATCTTTATATGAGGTAAGGCAGGGCACATTTTGTCCCTATATGATAGGCAACCAATGACTTCCTAGATACTATGTAAGGGAGACAAACACTGAATGACCTTGAGATCACAAATTTAAGGAGAGAGTGGAACAGTTACAAAATCCCATAGAGACTCCCCAGAGAACTGACCCATAGCCATGTTGCCTCAGAATCATGTTATAGCTAAATGAAAAAATATTAAAATTTGAAAACACAAAGCCATTAAAAAGCACATGACCAAACAAACAAAACAAAACCAGCCCAGGATCATGATTACCTGGAAACCAATGGTCTGTAGTTCATTGTGGAGCCCATCTAGGACACGTCGTCCATCAAAGATAAAGGCTGGCTTCAGCATTTTCTTGTGAATACGTTCATAATCTAATTCCTATAAAGACAGAACCAAAGGAATAATTAGAAATCTACATGAGCACATACTCAGCCCCAACTGATACTAGAACACCTCTAAAATTTTCCTTCATACCATTTCTGTCACCTCACCTTAAACATGTCCCACTCGGTGCAAATAACAACAGCATGGGCACCATCACATGCTTCATACGGATCCTTAGAAATGGTCACAAGTCGGGACACTAACAACAGCAACAAAACATTGTCAATAGGAATGGAGTTATTTTAAATGATGTATTTTAACATTAGGATTGCAGGTGGAACTGCAGGTATGAAAGAAATGGAATAGTCTGGCTGAAGTGTGAGGGAAGGTAATGATGTGGGGCCTGGAGCACCCCCAACCTTATCCCAGAAGCATCTCCTTGGAACCTCTAGAGCTTTTTAGAATAGGTAGAAAAAATCATTAGAGGAACTTCATCACTTCAAATCAAAGCTGACAAAACAATGCCTAAGAGTTTAATTTTAGAGAAATGAGGTTCAAAACAGGGCCTGCCAATGATATAAATGATAAAAACTGAACCAACAAAGGTTTCTGGAAAATAAAAAAGTTTTGGGGCCCATACTCAAAGTGATTCATGAGACTCAAGGGCTTACCTTGGTCGTCCTCTGAAACTCCTGGATGAGAAAGATCCACAACTATTTGTTCCCTTGGTACTTTTGGATCATATATATGGAGGTGTGCACCTTCATCCATCAAATATTTGCTAATATATATACTAGAAGATTCTCTGAAGAAAAAAGAAATCAGTATTGCTAAGCTTTTTAAATGGCATATATTCTAATACCTTAGGAGTTTAATATATAGGTAAGATTCTATTTCTTGCGAGGTTATGGATGTTTATTTTTATTCTTTATACTATATATATTTCATACACACACACATCCACCAATCAAACATAAGCATAAGATATGGAATTAACACTCTCAATTGGGCTGAAATATTTTAAAGAACTGATACCTCGTATCACCAGTGTCCTTTTTGAATGCAAACCCCAAAATAGCTATCTTCTTATCAGTCACTGTATTAAACAGACTGTCTATAATCCGGGAAGCAAACCTTCTTCTCTGGTAGTCATTTATATCTATTACCTGAAATTACATGTACAATTATGCAATGATTAGTTAAAAGAAGTGCAGGTTGTGCCATACACTGCTCAGATTTTTATCATGAGTACTACTGTATGAAGCCAAGCCTTATGAATTAACAAGAGGCAAAGATTAACCAACCTCTTTAGCATCTATAGATTAAAAAAAAAAATTACCCCCCACTTAAAGCCATACTAAAAATTTTAATTTTCCTATGGTTAATCTTTCCATGCATCAGGCTGGGATGGATGTAAAGATGGGGAATACAGCTAAGTTTCAACCCCATTTTAGATCCAGCTACAATTAAGGCACATAGAAAATAGTGTTCTCCTTAGACAACTTCTCCAAACCCTGTGGAAGCAAGGCTGTAAGCAATCAAATCCCAAAGTACTCCCTCATATGCTTAACCCCACCCCTCACCAAAATTGAGAGTGAAGACAAAGTGGACAAAGAATAGTCAATGTGCAGGGTTACAGCTGCTTCTGGATGAACCATAACACCATGAACATTTCGCAGTTTTTAACTAAATGTTGAGTAAAAGTCTCTGATCACCTATCTGTTACTCTCCTAAGAGTTTATAAACAAGACTTCATATTGGTGACTAGAGGAATATAAGGAAAGAGACTTTTTTGTGTGTGTTTTCTTTTAAGACTCTAAGCTAGGGCCTGTATCAAACCCTGAGAACTTGGGATATGAGCCCAAAGTGTTGGAAAATCAAGACTTTACCGGCATTTTCCCCACAACAGACAGTAAGATAAAGCCATCATGATGAACTGAGTTAAACAAAATTAAAAGTGTGTATTTCCATTAAAAAATGTGTATTTTCTTACATTCCCACCCACTGCTGAAATGTGAAAAATTATAAACTTGAGGGGAAAATATTGGGGAAAGGTGTATACATTGGCTGGTATCTTGGACAAATTACTTAATGTCTCTAAGTTTCCATTTCCTCATCATGGGGGATGATGTAAGTGATGAGGACTAAAATGAAGACTAAGCAACATATTTAAGAGTCCCTGGCACAGAGTAAGCACTCAATAAATGTTAACTCTATTTCCAGTTTTGGAAACATTTTTTAATTTTAGCTCTGTGACTCTCAAAGGGACAATATAAATATCAACACATGCAAACTACCTGAAATCATTATAATACAGGTTCTTCCTTTATTTTTATTTTAATGTCTTTCAAGATATAGAAGAATTGGGCCGGCCGAGTGGCGCGATGGTTAAGAACTGGCTTGGGATGCCAGAGGGCCCCGGTTCGGATCCCACATATGAGGGCCAGTGACACTGCCCTCTACAGCTAAGATGCTGAACAACAGTTCAACCTGGAGCTGGGCTGCCGTGAGTCGCTGGCGACGGCGTAGGCTGTAGTCCCTGTGGCAGTGGGTTGCCATGGGCTACCGTATGTAGCCAGCAGCCAGCGTGAGCGGCCAGCAGCCGCAGTGAGCGGCCGTCCAGAAGACGGCGACTGATCTGCCTCGCCCGGGAAGAGCGCAATGATGGTGCCAACTTGGGCCAGTGAAGCAGCATCCTCCACAACTAGACTGAAGAACAAAACGACAGCAACTTGTCTGTTCCCCTTCCCCCAATTCCCCAGCACTGTTCCCATCCCCCCAATTCCCCAATAAAAATCTTAAAAAAAAAAAAAAAGATATAGAAGAATTATAATTTAGAGTAAGTTCCTGCTTTACTGTAGGAGCAAATTTAGTTATAAAATTTGAATACTGGTTTATCAGAAACTTCCATCACAGTTGATTAGCAAAAAAGACAAATTAAAAATACAGAAGCCCAATAATAAACCTAAAATAAAAAATTGAATATAATAATAGTTGAGTTCCTGGAATAAATGAATCCTATCAAAAACATTTCACAGACAAAGGGTGACATATTTTATTTAGAAGTTAATCATCAGTTGTTGACTATAAAGCTTAATACCTGCTGCCAATAGTGAGCTACTTCAGGCAGATTCAAGGCCTCACAGAGATAAACCAAATTCAGAACATCTTTTTGAAAGCAGCTCCCACCAAAACCTAAAGAAAAAGAAAATGACAATATTTTTATTTAGGAACCATGCGACAAATTTGTCACATTAAATCAAAGGGCCTATGCTAGGATTTTTAATACTAAAATGCAGATATTGGAAACTGAGTGGGTTTATAAATTACGTGAAATTTGCAAGCAACTAATCAATTCTATAAATAAATTCCAAATAATTTTCTAGCTAGTTTTATTATGGCTATATTTTCTATTTTTTTCTTCATTCATCTGATATCATTGCCCCACATATCTAACTCTAGCACTGGGCTGGCAAACCTTTATGAGCCAGATAGGAAATATTTTCATCTTTGTGGGTCATACAGTCTCCAGCACAACTCTTCAACTCTGTCTTTGTAGTTCAAAAACAATCATAGACAATATATAATCAAATAGGCATCACTATGTTCCAATAAAACTTTATTTATAAAAACAAGCTGTGCGCAGGATTTGCCCATCCCATTCTAGTGCAATACAGTCTACAGTGAAGGTTGGCATGGGCTCTGGAGTCAGAAACACCTAGCCACTCAATAGCTGTATGACTCTGAGCAAGTTGCAAAAATTTCCCTGATCCTCAATCATCTCTGTAAAGGAAATACCAGCACCTTCATAACAGGTTACAAGGATTAATAATGAGATATATGAAGTGCTGGTTCAAAACGTGGTGCATAATATGCCTTTAGTAAATAGTAGCTATTTTTATTAAATGTTAGCTAGAAGAAAATATCAAAAAGAGAAAAGAGGCCAGGGAAACCAGTATCAGGAAATGGCATTAAGGCCCCAAAATATAGGAAGGGTTGCCTATGGCCCAATCTATAAAAGGGTCTATGTACTTTTCCATCAACCTTATTAACATATGTCAAAAAATATAGTCAGTTCTCATTATACCCAGTAGTTATGTTCTACAAAATTGCCACAAACACTGAATTAGCAAATACTGAAGCACTGCTCCTAGGTAAAGTACAGTTAGGTTCCTGTGAGTTTCTGGTCACACCTTCATCAATCAATCAATACATAATCTTGTTTTATGTGTTTCTGTGTAAAGACACCTTATTTAATATGTATTGCTGGTTCATTAACATTAAACTCACAGCCAACAGCACTATAATTCATACCTGAACGAAGCTTATCTAATCACATATATTTTCTCCCTAAGGCACAGCACAGCTATCTGGCACTTCAGAACATTAGACAGCACTTCAGCAATATGCTTGGGGGCCACTGTAAACAGTGAAATCACCAATAAAAAGCACAAAAATGCGAAAAACGGGGCACTTTTAATAGACCACAAAAAGAACAGATGTTTGCAGCATGAAAGCTGAAAGGAGGAGGCAAGGGCATCGCCTTACTCAGCTTCAGCTGAGAATGTACGTGTCAGGTGACTCAAATTTTTTGCTGCTCTGTTCATGTCTACAAATAAATGACCACAAAACACTATGAGTACTGATTTGGGAATTGCAAATAAATTCTAGTGAGTAAGCTCACTCACAAATACGGAATCTGCAAATAATAAAGATGAACTGTATTTCACCAAAGCCACATTCCGAAAGTATATCATGGGAAAAGCAAATGATAGTGAATTGTTTACTACCTGCTTTAATAAGGTGTTACTTCAGTTATTTATTATGTGTCCCCCAAACATTCTTCCTAAATGTTCTTACTAAATAAATACTAAAAATGTATTCCTCCTAAAACACTGAACTATGTTTCTACTAATCAGTCAGTAATTATGAAACAATGTTAAGTAACTGCTGCATCACTTAAAAAGTCCCTGATAGGCCAAAAGCTGCATGTATAATTGAATGATTATTTTAAGGGCATTGAGTTAAAAAGACTTCCTTAAATTTAGAGACCTAGCTAAATGAACCTACTTTATGTGCCAAAAATTTTCATTTTACCAACACTGGCTTTCAGAAACTTATTTCCGATTCTCTGGTCCATCCCAATAGCCCTGGCCACCTCTTCCACATCGGCTCCTGTAGCTTCACAGAGGGCACTTATAGAGTTAATGCTGCTGATTCTCTGTGCGAGAAAAGCATTTGCTACCTAAAAAACATAAAGGGGGGTGGTATGATGAGCGAAAATAGCAATTTTATACATCTGGGTTATATTTCATTGAGCTGATGCAAATTACTGAGACAGAAAAAAATTACTGATGGGCTCAATTTGAGGAGGCAATGGATGGGTTGGTAAGGGAAAATGTTTTAATTAGAAAAGAAAAATGATTAAGAAAGAGGGTAAAAGAATGATTTTAAAAATTACTATTTTAATGTATCCTCCATTTTATCTTAGTTTATGAAAATTTTAGAATTTCCAGAATATTTTATACACTATGTGATCTGCCTTGTGAAAATTATTTCATAATATATAAGAATACTATCTTCAAAAGCATACCTTTTATTAAGAAAGTAGGTATGTAATTTATTGGGTTTAAGAGAAATAAGTCCTTGGCTTTAAATTTAACGGAGAGTTGAATGTTATGTACCAACCAGTTTGGAAAGCTCTGAAGACCAGGTATTGGTGGTAAGGATCTTTTCTTTGGGAACCCAGTGCTCATACACAGCACAGAGTGCCTGCACCGCTCTCTGGCCTTCTGGGGTTTCATCCCCTCCAATCAGTACCCTGTCTGGGTTCTTCAGGTCCTTAATGGCCGTTCCTTCTGCCAAGAACTCAGGGTTGGACAGCACCTAGAATCCCGATGCAAAGAAAGTTTTAAGCTAGCATTAATTATGGACAACTTTAAGGCATCAATGTTTACATAAGAAGGACTGGATTCTAAGGTTTCCTTTTTTTTATACCTGTAAATTCAAGTTGGGTTTTGTGTTTGCATCAAATATTTGACGAATACTTTCTGCTGCCCGCACAGGAACTGTGCTTTTCTCAGTCACAATTTTGTACCCATGTGAGTTTTGCACAATGCGTCTAGCACAAGCTTCAATATACTTCAGATCTGCCGCACGGCCTTTCCCCATTCCATAGGTTTTCGTTGGAGTGTTCACCTGGTGAAAGTGTAAGGGATTAAGAACAGATTATCTGTGAGATACTCAGTGATTTCTAGACAGGCCCTGGACCATCAATTAGCTAGTCATGTGGGAAGTTAACTACCATCAGTAGCCCTGACTTTAACCCTCTGTCAGTTCCTGGGAAATAATACATTTTATAAATATTAATATAATCACCAGAAGGAATAGCTTGAAGCATCTGGAGAACTCATTCAATAAATGTTTGTTGAGAAGCTTATACACATGGTCAGATACCAAGGCAGGGAAGTTACAAGCTAAGCCCTGGAGATATAAAAATGAATGAAACCATTCTTCTAAAGGAGTTCACAATCTGAAATGAAATGTAAGTTTTCTCTTCTTTCCTCTCTTTATTGTATGCTATATATTAACATGGTCTTTAAAACTAAATTTCAAACTTCTTTTTTACTCTCCATTTTTATAGACCTATATCAAAAGCTTTAAAAAATGGTTACAGTATCATTCACAAATGCTTTCTTGGCTCTTTAAGCTAGGAAGTACCTAGCATCTTCAGGATACCAACTACTATTAATATGTAGACAAAGACTATCAAATAGAAAGAAAAATAAATCATGGGTCCAGAGTCTCAGCATTTAGTTTTGGCTTAGCTCTATTACATAACCTTGGGGGAGTGTGGCTACCTTTGCCTCAATGACCTCATTGGAAAATGAGGATAACACACTCTCTAAAATCTAACACATGAGTTTTATAACACTCTGTTAGAAATGAAAGTACTCTGAAAAGCCCAAAATTCTATACAGGAATAATTTTTGAACCAGTAATAAGTAGCACCAATTCTCTTCCCTTGACAAGCTTATAATCTAATGAGAGACTAAATAAAGGAATCAGCCAAAATAAATCAAAACTTGCAGATTGAGTTGAGGTGTGAAAAGCAGGAGGAAAAGGTGTTTATATGCATGGAATGACTAGGAAAAGACTTAGTCATAAACAGCCGGGTGCAGTGGAGTACAGAAGGGCAATGACAGCAGGCTAATGAGATAAGGTAACCCATGCCAGGGATTGGAGATGATCAGATGGCTTCCCCTCATAAAGGAGCTCTGAAGACAACAAATGAAAACTGATTTGTTAATCAGCTTAACAATAACCCACAGCCTTCGGACCAACTGAAAACTGATTTGTATAAAGCTATTTCTATCTGGAATTTGCCTTAAAAAATCTGGGGTGGGAGGAAGTGGATAGAAGTAGTAAATGAAACAAGATCAGCCATGATAACTGTTGACAATGGAGAATGAGAAATAGGGGTTCACTGTACTACTGTGTTCGTCTTTTGTATAAGTTTGATATTTTCCATAATAAAAAGTATACAACAAGCAAATAAAACTGATCCAGAGAATAAAACCTAAATGTGATTTATACAATAATAAATTACCCTAACAGACACACAAAGCAACAGCTTGGAAAAACTCAGGGCAGCTCAGGTTAGATGGGCAGAGAGGCAAATGTAAAACGAGCTATCTGTGCCAGACCACCCTATGATGGATTCTATTGCCTGAGAGTAGATTATTTTTAAATACTTTTTTTACAGAAAATTTCCCTACTGCCATTCCAAGGTCTGGTTATCCAAACTAAGATAACCAGGGAAATAAGGTAACTTCCTTTTTTTTTTTTCTTTTTTAACATATTTTATTCAAATACAGGTTTGATCACACATGGTCCAAGAACATTCAAATAATAAACCCAAAAGAAAAAGATGTTAAAGATTGGTCTTCAAACATGATAGCCAACAATGCCACGCTTGCCTATGATCTCACCGACATGAAACCACATCCACACCTCAGTGACCACCAAATCACTCAGCTGAGCTTCCTTAACTGTGAGCTGTTTGAAGCTACCAATTTGAGCACTAATGACTATTTTTCTCAAGCTCTGAATTGCTGTAGGTATCTCAGCAGAGGTTGGAGGAACCAGCATAGTGCCAAACTGTGGCCAACCAATGTTTCAAGTAAGTCACAGCACTGTTTACTAGCCCCGGGGCCTTCTCTGCCAGGTTAGGCACAAACTGGGCCATGGTCCTAGTATGGAAAGTCAGTAACTTCTTGATTAACTCCAAGTATCTAGCTACTCCAACAAAATATTTTCTCATTTTCTCTGCCTCTATCCTAACCTTCCTAATTCTAGATATCAGACTAGAACGCTCTCTGAATTTATTTGTTCAATGATCTGAAATGACATACTTGACCAAATGATTATAGGGTTTGGTGAAGTGTTGGACAAAGTTAGTGACAACCAAAATTCAACTGGACAATGGCTATTCTAAGCAATGTTTTGGCTTAATGCAATGGATTTACTATTAAAATTAAATGTAACGTCTATATAGACAAGAATACATAAAAACTCCCACCGCAAAGGGAAATACTTACAGAAATAAATACAAGATCAGCTTCTTTGATGGCATCATCAATATTGGTAGAAAAAAATAGATTTTTTCCTCGGCAGGATTCTACCACTTCTTTTAGTCCTGGCTAAAATGAAACAGAGTTGTGTACACTGTTTACCAGTCACGTAAAATAACCTAATAGTATAGAATTACATGTGCTTAAGCAGAAGTTTATATTATAATTTAAAGGTCTAGACTTGCTATCAAATAACACCTTTGTAGAAAAATCAAAGACCATACACCAAAGGCCATCAATATACATTATGTAACATTACTAAATAAAGCAAAATTGAACTTGCCACAATTAAAGCAATAGCTCATTTTAATGCTGTGTCATTGTTTACCATGTGCTTGACTATTTGAGTTAATAATTAACTGAGTACCAACACAATTATCAGAAAATTCAATGTCTTCTGTGATTTCAAGCAAGCACTTGATTTTCGATTATCATTATGAATACAGGATTTTACCCCCCAAGAATTTAGGCCATACAACTGGTTGTGAAACAGTCAATATATACACATACATAAACATATTTTTTCTAAGTCCCTATTGTAAGAAACCTTTAATGAAAATTTTGTTTTTCCATACAATTTAGCTGGAGATACAGTAAAATTAAGAACATTAAGCTGTACACCACCACCTAACAAGTATTCATGGAAAAAAAGAAAAATCAAGTCTAAATCTGATCAGACTAGTCCAATCAGCAAAATTCTGACTGTGAAAATGTCTACAGGATAAACAACCTGGTTTCTGCAACCAATAAACTAAAGAGGATAACAGAGTGGAGTGGGGGAAGAGAGAGAGAGAGATTAAAATATTGTGGTCTTAGGAGACACTGAAATGATACAAATCTGTTGCAAATATGGGTCTTACTTGGAGCCTGATTCAAATAAACTAGGGAGGAAGGACATGCATAAGAATTCTTGATATGAAGAAATTGTTAAAAATTTTAGTAATGACAATGGTGATGTGCTTAGGTTTTAAAAACCAATTATTCGGGGGCTGGCCAAGTGGCTCAGTTGGTTAAGAGCACAAGCTGAGCAATAGGGTCGCTGGTTCGATTCCCACATGGGCCAGTGAGCTGAGCCCCAGCTGAGCTGCCAACAGGTGGCAGGATAGCTCAGTGGTTAGAGCATGCACTCTTAGCAACAAGGTTTCCAGTTTGACTCCCATCATGGGATGGTGGGCTACGCCCACCTGCAACTAAGATTTAACACAGCACCTTGAGCTCCCGTGGGTCGGCCGGATGGCAACTAGACTTGGAGCTGAGCTAGCTGCGCCCTCCACAACTAAAATTGAAGGACAACAACTTGTCTGTTCCCCTTCCCCAATTCCCCAATAAAATCTTTTTTAAAAAAACAAAAACAATTATTCTTTTTAAAGATACTTAATGAAATGCTTATGGATGAAATTATAAATAATCAGGATGGTAATAGTTGGGAGGCAGTACTGGTCATGGTGATAAATTTTTGAAACATGGTGATGGGCTTCTGGGGATTCATTATACTATTCTCTCCGTTTTTATTACATGTCTGAAATTTTCCATAATAAAAAGAAAAAAGAAGAAAAAAACAGACCTAAACTACCAAAGCTTACTTTTCTTGGGGGAGAAGTTTCAAAAAATATACACAATATTATGGATGTTTATAAAACTACCTATGTAGATAGCAAAGTAAAAAGCCACTTCAGGGACTACAGGTTTAGAATTATATCCAGAGGCAATTCACTTTTCTTCATGGTTCTGGGGCCTTTGAACATTAGCAATTAGAGGAAGTGGAAAACGTGAATTCAAATTTCCATTAGTTTGACTAAAATGTTTAACAGGACCAGCAAAATACATGAATCACTACAACCATGAATACAATGTCATCAATCATAGTAACTGTTTCCTTGGTTATTTTGACTAGGTTCCAGAAAATGCGTGCAAAAGGTTATGAAATTTGGGGATTTTGCAGAGAAAATTTAATTCAGTCCTATACATAAAATTTCCTAATACTGTATTTAAACTGAAGTAACTTAAAATCAAAGCAATGCAGAATTTATACTAAGCCTTAATAAGACCTCAAATTGAACTACATTATTCTGTTAAAACAAATGGCATATTTGCAGATCTTCAAAAATGAGGAGAAGCAGTTAATAATATAGGTTCTATCTCTTATTAGATTCATTATGTAATTATCATAATTAGTATTTAGAATTTACATGGTACTTTTTTTTGAAAGAACTCAAATCCTTTCACAGGGTAAAATTATCTTTTATTTTACTCAGAAAAAAAAAGCACATTATCCATTTTTTAAAAGTAGTTATTAAAATTTTTTAATGAACAAAGTTAACAAAAAAAAAGCAATGACTATTAAACAAATATGGTAACACAAAACAAAATGTTTTAATTGTTAAATGTTAACAGTATCTACTATACTATTTCCTGAGTAAAAACTGAACTATCTTATCACCACATTTTACCCAGTAGTCCTATTTCTTTCTCTGGCAGTAAAAATGACTACTATTTTACTAATACAGTTTTGACCCATAAAATATAAGCTTATAAGATTAGAAATAAACACAGTAAACAGAAGCTCATGGACCCTAAGTATATTTAGCTGGGTTTTCAATGTAGCCTGATAAATCTTTTTACTTGTTTTTTCTATTCTCAGATTACTGACTTACGATGGTTCGACTTAGTTTTTTTACTTAATATTGATGCGAAAACTATATGCAGTCAACAGAAATCATACTTCGAATTTTGATCTTTTCCCATGCTAGTGATATGCAGTACCATGCTCTCCCGTGATTCTGGGCGGCAGTAGTGATCACGAGGGTGAACAACTGATACTCTACAGTGAACTGTGTTGCCAGAGTTTTTTGGATATTGTGTTTTGTGTTTTTGCATCCCATCATGTCTACAAAACACCCATCTGTATCTCCTACTCCTGGTGAGAAGAGGAAGGCAATTACTCTTGAGATGAAACTGAAGACACTGTAACTGCTCAACTGTAGGCTAATAATGTAAGTGTTCTGAGGACGTTTAAAATAGGCTAGTAAGCTATGATGTTCAGTAGGTTAGATGTATAAAATGCTTTTGACTTATAATATTTCTAACTTACAATGCGTTTCTCTGGACATAACCCCATTTGTAAGTCAAGGAACATCTATACTGCTCTGAACCTTTACTACGCGCAAGTCCTTGACCTCACGCTACCCCTTCTATCTTCTTCAGAATACCTTACTTCCCACTTCCAGATTATTAAGATTACCAATATGTAAGTCACCTTTATTTCATTCCCCTCCAACAAAACTGTATGTATCTTTATCCGTCCTTGTTTTCTTCCCTCTGGTCTCCAAAGAAGAGGCCTTCAAGGTCAGTCCCTCCACTTGTGCTTTCTGATCCTATCCTGTTGCTATCTTTCTAGATTTTATCCACCAAGTAGGTCCTTTCTTCTTATGCTTTTGACCTTTCCTTCTCTATGTGATTTTATTAACATGCTTGATCCTTTACCAACCATAGAAAAAAATATAAATAAAATCACTTTCTTTACCCTGTATCCCTCTCCAATGACCACCCCTTTTATTTTCTTCTAAATTAAACTCCTTAAGAGTCTTACTTACTCCTTTTTCTACACTCTCCCACCTTTAATCTCCTACCATTTGGAATTACTGTATTCTTGCAAAGGTTACAATGGCCCCCATAATACCAAATTTAATAAAGGTGTCTTAGTCCTTACTTCTTCTGCATTTGGCATAATTGTCAGCTCATTCATTCAGCAAATATTTATTGAGTACTTACTATGTACTTGTCACTGTGTTAGTCACTCATAATCAAGGCATATACATCTTTTTGGAGCTTGAACTACTAAACCTATTCTGGTTTTTGGTTCACCTTCTCTGAACTACTCTTCATTCCTTTTCTATGGTGTTCCCTCCTACACCCACCATCAAACATTAGAATTTTCCAGGGTTCTGGTCCTTGAGCCATGCTCTGTTCTTTCTACAAGCTCTTCCTGGAGAGCTCAGCTACACTGATTTTAACTACTACCTGCATAATCATAACTTTACATCTCCAGCCCTGAATTCTTTTCCTAAACTTTTGATATATACCCAGTGGCCTCCTGAACATCTCTATTTGGACATCCCAAAGCTTTTCTAACTAAATAGGACAAAACAGAATTCACCATTTCATCTCCCACTGCTCTCTGCAACACCCTGCATTCTTGATCTCAATAAATGGCACAATTGTGCACCCATTATTCAAACTGGAAATTTGGATATCATTCTAGATTCCTTCCCCTCCTTCATCCCTGTTATATAATCAACAACCAAGTCTTACCATTTTCCTTCTAAATATTTCTTTAATTAGTAAGTCTCAGAGTGGATAGAGTGAAGGTGGAACATTCTCAAGGAGACTGTGTACTCAAAAGAGCACACTGAATATTGTAATTATATATTAGTTATCATTTCTCTATTGGTGGCTATAAGTTAAACATTATTTACCAATAGGGACTTCCTAAAATGAAAATATATTATTTACATGAAGAATCAATGCCATATTTTAATAATATCCTTGAAAACAAATATCAATTTGGTTGTATATTTAAAAATGCATTATAGGACACAGATTTACAGGAGAAAGTTGATTGGAAATATATCCAAGTTTTCTCTGAAAATAAAAATATTTCTTTGCATTGTCCAAGGTAGCCAGTATAAATTACAACTAGTAACAATATGTTTAAGTTACTCAATAAAGCAATTCAGAAAGCAGCATAAGCTCTGGTTAAACCTATGCCATTCATTTTTCTTCTTTTATAATTGTTCCTATTTGACATTTCACTTAATATTTCACATCTCTAATATGGCCAAGGAAATGTGCAGGGATAGTTAATTTTACAACATAAAGAAATAAAAATGGAACAAAGGGTAACATATCTCTGAAAATGGATATTGGGTCATATAATTCATTTACCCAAGTTTTTTTTTCTTTTTCTTTTTTTTTCTTTTTTTTTTTTAACACAACCTTACAGAAATCTTTTTTAAAACTTGATTTATACATTTCTTAAGGAGGCATATTTTAACAACTGATGTCTAAGA